TTCAAACGAGTTATACTTGAAGCCCACCCTCTGAGAAATACTGAAGATGTTGCGATAAACTGTAGCAACACCTCCTTCTCTACCTTTTGGACGCAGCTCATGTTTATAATCTTATAATCTTGTAATCTTGGGGGGGTTAGGGGGGGTAGACTTGTTTAAAATAATGTAATCATTATGTTTTAGCCAGGTTTCTGTCAAACAGAGCACATCTAGGTTATGATCAGTGATCCTATCATTTACAAAAAGTGCTTTTGTAGATAGGGACCTGATGTTCAATAAGCCAATTTTATAATTTGTTTCTCTGTATTATATACAGTTTTTATTTGTTGAACATCAATTAAATTGTTATTCTTAAATTGGTTTGGACGTTTTTTGTATTTTCTACTTCGGGGAACAGACACAGTCTCTATAGTGTGATATCTAGGTGAAAGAGTCTCTATGTACTGAGAATGAACTGATTTCTGTGACATGAAGCGGCTAGCAGACGGTCGGTTTAGCCAGTTTGTCTGCTTCCTGACATCAATTAAATTGTTACTCTTAATTTGGTTTGGACGTTTTTTGTATTTTCTAGTTCGGGGAACAGACACAGTCTCTATAGTGTGATATCTAGGTGAAAGAGTCTCTATGTGCTGAGAATTAACTGATTTCTGTGTCGTGAGGCGGCTAGCAGACGGTCGGTTTAGCCAGTTTGTCTGCTTCCTGACCTGGGCCCCAGTTAGTCAAGTACAAACTCTAAGACTATGTGCCATATTTCTAGACAGAAGAGCGGCACCACCCCAGGAGGGATGAAGACCATCTCTTTTCAACAGGTCAGGTCTGCCCCAAAAACTCGTCCAATTGTCTATGAAACCTATGTTATTCTGCGGGCATAGGCGGAGGGTGAACCAACTCCAGGGTAAGGCTAAAAGCAGACAAATCTATTAACTACAAACATCATAAACCTGTCTTTTTAGGCAAGAACCAGACATGGGTGTCATGTAGGCTAATAAAATATGTTTAATGGGACTGAATTCGTATTTAATGTGATTACAATTGAGTTAAAACATTAGAAATTTATAATTATATAACGTTTCCTTCCCATGGTTATTCTAACGGCGAATAAATTATGTACAGAAATGACATTATCACTAACTTTGATCTGTCGCACTCTCAAAAAAACAAAACTATCGTTATAATCACTGAAGTTGTCTACACTGCGAAATTAATCCCTTACTTACATTGTACGTATATCTGCGCTTTGTTGTTTATGATGAGAGATTTCGCGGAATTCAGTCATCGAACGTGCGCGCATTCAACAAAGCTGATGATTTTCAGCGATGACTCATCTGAACGCCTCTGATTGGCCATTGCGTTCCTAAGCTCAACAGAATCGTGTGTGATTGGTTATAATGCGCAACACAGTAAAAACGCCTAAAATGAAATACAGTACAACATGAGCAGATCTTAATTTAATGCGCAGTCGACACTTTTTATTCATTTACACTTTGATAGCAACAGATGTAATAGATTTAATTTGTTTGTGCAGGGTCATTTTTGCCCCAAGACCCCGTGGCCGCCTTACACACACTCCGCCTACGTCTGCAGGCACCACTTGGACATCCAGCCATTGAGTGATGACAGTCTGCTATGTATCTTGTCACCACGGTAAGCATGGAGGGGACCAGAGCATATTACAGTGTCTGACATCCTACTTGCAAGTTCACACACCTCTTTAATGTTATTTTTAGTGATCTCCGACTGGTGAAGTCGAACATCATTAGCGCCGGCGTGAATAACAATCTTACTGAATTTACGTTTAGCATTAGCCAGCACTTTTACAAAAAAACCAGGGGTAAAATCCAAAAGTTCACACATAGCACAGTGCTAATAATGAAAAACATACACAAAATACCCTCAAATTATATATATAAACACCAAAATGATGGGAAAGTGTCCCAGTTTTAATACCTTTTTGTCACAAAAGGTAGACAATTTTAATATAGATCCTAATATCCTTTTGAAATTGTTAGATGACTTATGTCCCATCTACTGTCACAGACTACTGCATTTTTATCCTATTTTACATATTTATAGTTGTCTTTTGACAAAGTTGATTATTTCTTGATGTGGTTTGTAGGCTGGTCTTTTTGACAGGTGAAGCTAGCCAAGATTAAAAAAAAATTAAATGCATAACTGAACACTACAGCCTTTGTGCTTTTTGCAAAGGGCAGCCACAGGCCAAAGAACCAGTGGTCGAAAAAAATAAAAATAAAAAAAAAACCTACATTTAACATTAGCCGATTTGGATAACATGACCTGGGATTTGGCAGCATAAAATCTGGTGTCAAGTATGGCCTGAACATAGGAAACAATAAGCAACTTTGATCCTGCAAACATCACTGACATCACTGTGAAAATACTCTAAACTTTATTTGGAGGATAGGACCAAAGCCTTTTGAAATAACCACATTTACCACATTTGAATAGTGCAAAACCATTGTCAACTTCAAGATTTTATTAATAAAACTAGCCTAATATTTTTGAGCCCTAGAATTTGCTTAACCCCAAAAGTTTGGTAAAGTCCAGGTGGTGAAAGTTGACATACTGCACGAAGACATGCAATACGCAAACCTAACTACTTTAAAAACAGAACTGTGCCCATCCTTACACAGGCAGTTTTTAAATACGGAGAGGTTCATGAATAAGGCTCAAAGAAAACATTTGCCATCAATAAAAGGAACTACTGTACGGTTTTAGAAAAATCCAGCTGCAAAGCTTAATTCTTTTTTTTTTTTTTTTAAACTGACACTAATGCCACACTTTTACCACCTTGGTGGAATAGTTCTAAACTTGGCTGAAACACAGGAAGGTAGAGGCTGCATAACCGTTGTCTGTTAGGATAGATTGTGCAAATGCAGATAAGTCAAACGAAATTTTACCAGAAAAATAACTGGTTTTATTGACTTGAAACAAGACGTGAAAACGCCACATTTAGAGATGAACAAATCTACTAAAAGACTTCAGTGCATAAGCACATCTTGGTTGAAGCAGGCAGGTAATGACACATTGAGGGATGGACTCCTTGGCAGGGTAGGGACTAGACTCCTGGGTGGGGAGAGCACTGGACTCCACAACTGGATGGGGGCTGGACCCAGTCAACTTGCCCCCTGAGATTGATGGGAGACTGCTGGATTCTGCAACTATGTGAGGGCTGGACACCTCAGTAGGGTGGGGACTGGACTCTGCAACTGGGTGAGGGCTGGACTCAGCAGGCAGAGGATTGGACTCTGCAGGTGGGATAGCATTGGATTCCTCAGCAGGCTGAGAGCTAGACTCCCCAGCTGGGATACTGCTGTGTTCCTTTGCAGGCTGGGGGCTGTACTCCTCAGCAGGCAGAGAGCTGGATTCCCCAGTTGGGATTGCACTGGACTGATTGGTAGGCTGGGGGCTGGACTCTGCAACTGGGTGAGG